TCCCGGTTTCTAATCCTTTCCCATTTTTCCAGGATTTTTAGTCTCTCATCCCTCCCTTCCCATTTTTTCCCAGGATTTCAGGCCTCTTTTCCCTTTTCCCATTTTTTTTCAGGAATTTTCCCATTTCTCCCTCCTTTTTTCCCCTGTTTTTTTCCCAATTTATTTTTTTCCTAGTTTTTTTTTTTTTTTCCAGGAATTTTCCCTTTTTTCCCACCACTTTCTCCTCTTTTTTTCCCAGTTTTTTGGGGAATTTTTCCCATTTCTCCCTCCAGTTTTCCCTCTTTTTAATCCAAATTTTTGGGGGAATTTTCCCATCCTAAACCCTGTTTTCCCAGCTTTTTTTCTTTTGGGAATTTTCCCGTTTCCCCCTCAAGTTTCCCTCTTTTTCCCCCATTTTTTTCCCGGGAATTTTCCCATTTTCTCCTCTTTTCCCTGTTTTTTTTCCCCCAGTTTTTCTTTTTCCCAGTTTATTTTTTTTCAGGAATTTTCCCATTTCTCCCACCACTTTTCCCTCTTTTTTTTTCCTCTTTTCACTCCCTTTTTTGTTCCAGGAATTTTCCCTTTTCCCCCACCACTTTTCCCTCTTTCTTTCCCGTTATTTTTTTCCAGGAATTTTCCCATTTCCTCTTTTCCCTGTTTTTTCCCCAAGGCCACAACGGCTCCGCCGAAGCCGAAGCCGGATCCGGTGACGTCGGAGACCGTGGTGATCTGGGGGCTGCGCCTGTGGCAGGTGGTCGGGATCTTCGCCCTCTTCGTCCTCTCCATCAGTGAGTCCCGGAATTCCCGGAATTCCCGGAATTCCCCATCCCCACGGGAATCCTTCCTGGGAAAATCCCCCCTTGGAGTTCTTGGGAATGCTGGAAGTGAGTGGGGAGGGATCGGGAATCGGCTGGAGACGCACTTCGGGGAATTCGGGAATGCTCGGGAATCTGGGAATGGGGAGGGGATTGTGGGGTGCCTTGGGAATCCGGGAATGGGTCAGGAATCTGGGAATGGGTTGGGAATACGGGAATGGGTCGGGAATCTGGGAATGGGTCGGGAATACGGGAATGGGTCGGGAATACGGGAATGGGTCGGGAATATGGGAATGGGTTGGAATGGGAATCATGGAATGGGTTGGGAATCTGGGAATGGGTCAGGAATCCGGGAATGGAGAGGGAATTGTGGAGTGCCTTGGGAATCTGGGAATGGGTCGAGAGTCTGGGAATGGGTCAGGAATCTGGGAATGGTTTGGGAATCTGGGAATGGAGAGGGAATTGTAGAATAGATTGGGAACCCAGGAATGGGTTGGGAATCCAGGAATGGGTCAGGAATTGTAGAATAGATTGGGAATCCGGGAATGGGTTGAGAATCCAGGAATGGGTTGGATTTGGAATCATGGAATGGGTTGGGAATCCAGGAATGGGCTGGGAATCCAGGAATGGGTTGGGAATCCGGGAATGGGTTGGGAATCCGGGAATGGAGAGGGAATTGTGGAGTGCCTTGGGAATCATGGAATGGGTCAGGAATCCTGGAATGGATTGGATTGGGAATCGGTGAATGCTTTGGGTCGGGAATCATGGAATGTTTGGGAATTGTGGAATGAGTCAGGAATCATGGAATGGTTTAGGTTGGGATCCATGGAATGGTTTGGGTTGGGATCCATGGAATGGGTTGGGAATCCGGGAATGGTTTGGGTTGGGAATTGTGGATTGACTTGGATTGGGAATGTGGGAATGGTTTGGGCTGGGATCCATGAAACGCCTTGGGAATCCGGGAATGGTTTTTGTTGGGAATCCTGGAATGCTTTGGTTTGGGAATGGTGGAATGGGCTGAAATCATGGAATGCTTTGGGAATCCTGGAATGTTTGGAATTCCAAGATTTTCCACTTGATTTCAGCTGGGATTTGAAACCCCTGGGATTTTTAACCTGGAAGTGCCGAGAAGAACGGGAAAAATCCAGGAAAATTGGAATATCCCGAAAGGAAAAGGATCCGTAGAAATCCAAATCCAACTCCCGGTTCCGGAAATTCGGGAATAAACAGGAAAAGGATCATTTCAATGGGAAACCGGGAATTGAAATTTCCAATTCTGATAAAAATCCTGAATTCTGGAACCAGGAAAAATTCCAAAATTAGGGAAAGAATCAAATTCCAAACCCAGGTAAAATCCTGAAATTCCAAATCCAGGGAATTCCAGAACCGGGAAAAATCCCAAAATTCCAAATCCAGGGAATTCCAGAACCGGGAAAAATCCCGATTTCTGGGAGATCCCAGGGATTTGAAAATCCGGGATAAATCCGGAGCATCCCAAGGGATCCCAGGCTCTCTTTCCAACCCCGTGGGTTTTTTGGGAATTTTGATGAACTCCTCATCCTTTAAAATCCAATCCCAATGGAATTTATTAGGAAAACCGGGATTCTTCCATCATTCCTCACCTTTTCCTTGGAATTTCCCCCATCCTGCTCCTCCTTTGCTCCAGAGGTTTCCTGGCGTATCCCAAAAATTTTAGAAGCCACGGATTTTCCCGGGAGCCGGGAATGGGATTGGAATCCAGAAAATCTGGGAATATCCCACTTTTCCGGCTTTTCCAAGGGCAGAAATCCTGGGATTTGGAACATTCCCAAAGCATCAACTAACCCGGAATTCCTCAATGTTCTCTCCATTCCCAATAACTCACTGGGAATTCCAGCTTTCCCATTCCCATTAACTCACCCAGAATTCCCGGTTTCCCACTAACCCACGGAAATTCCATGCTTCCCATTCCAAATAACTCACTGGGAATTCCCGGTTTCCTGTTCTGAATAACTCACCAGAATTCCAGGTTTCCCATTCCCTGATGGAATTCCCCATTCCCATTCCCATTCCCTCATGGAATTCCATGTTCATGTTCCCATTCCCTGATGGAATTCCCTGTTCCCATTCCCTGAGGAAGTTCCCATTCCCTCATGGAATTCCCTGTTCCCATTCCCACTAATCCATGGGAATTCCCTGTCTCCTGACAGAATTCCATGTTCCCATTCCCATTCCCTGAGGGAATTCCTGTTCCCATTCCCATTAACCCATTGGAATTCCATGTTCCTGTTCCCTGAGTGAATTCCCGTTCCCTGATGGAATTCCCTGTTCCCATTCCCTGATGGAATTCCCTGTTCCCATTCCCTGATGGAATTCCCGTTCCCGTTCCCACTAATCCATGGGAATTCCCTGTCCCCTGACAGAATTCCGTGTTCCTGTTGTTCCCATTCCCTGATGGAATTTTCTGTTCCCATTTCCAGAGGGAATTCCTGTTCCCATTCCCACTAAACCATTGGAATTCCCTGTTCCCTGATGGAATTCCCATTTCCATTCCTTGTTCCCGTTCCCTGTTCCCATTCCCTGACAAAATTCCCATTCTCAATAATCCATGGGAATTCCCGTTCCCATTCCCAGTAATCCTGGGAATTCCCGTTCCCATTCCCAGTAATCCATGGGAATTCCCATTCCCATTCCCAGTAATCCTGGGAATTCCGGTTATTCCCATTAATCCCTGGGATTCCGGTTATTCCCAGTAATCCATGGGAATTCCGGTTATTCCCAGTTATCCATGGGAATTCCGGTTATTCCCAGTTATCCATGGGAATTCCGGTTATTCCCGATAATCCTGGGAATTCCAGTTATTCCCAATAATCCATGGGAATTCCGGTTATTCCCAGTAATCCATGGAATTCCAGTTATTCCCAATAATCCCTGGAATTCCGGTTATTCCCAGTTATCCATGGGAATTCCGGTTATTCCCAGTAATCCATGGGAATTCCGGTTATTCCCAGTTATCCATGGGAATTCCCGTTCCCATTCCCAGTAATCCATGGGAATTCCCATTCCCATTCCCAGTAATCCTGGGAATTCCGGTTATTCCCATTAATCCCTGGGATTCCGGTTATTCCCAGTAATCCATGGGAATTCCGGTTATTCCCAGTTATCCATGGGAATTCCGGTTATTCCCAGTAATCCATGGGAATTCCGGTTATTCCCAGTTATCCCTGGAATTCCAGTTATTCCAAATAATCCATGGGAATTCCGGTTATTCCCAGTTATCACGCTCTGCTGCCTGTTCAAGTGCCGCATTCCGCGCACTCGGAAGGAGATCGAGGCTCGCT